CAGCAGGAAAGTTCATTGACTTATTTCAGACAGGTCAAAAACCTGTCTAGCTACCCCATTGGCAAGGGGTAGCTATTCATGTGTGAATAAACAAATGCATGTTGTCTTAGTTTTGAGAAGAAAACGGATCAACTTTCAACACCTGAGAAACATTTCTTAGAAAAAAAGTGACTCTGAGCAGCCATGGAGAAGACTACAATAGCTTGAAGCTTCAAAGTAATGCACATGAATGAAAAAAGAATGCACAGTAAAATGCTTGGAAGATTCAATCAAAGTGAAAGAATTGATTTTTGTTGGCTGAATTGATTTTCTGGAGACTAATTCAACTAAGTCACTCATTTGAAAGAAAACTCAATATTCTTAAAAGACTATAAATAAAGATAATAATAATGATTTAAACAAATAAATCTAAGTGTATCAACTTTCATTTGGGATAAGAATTTTGAATGACGGTAATAAATGTTATGTGTATACTTTGACAGGAACCTTTACAGAAATATAATGGTTTTTGAGCTAAGTAAAAAATTCACATTTATAATTTAAAATTTATTTCAGGACATCCATACTTGAGAAACAAAATATCTTTAAGGATAAGAATCTAATTTCAAATGCATAGCTCCCAGTTCATACATTAAAAACCTGGATGATATTATCATTATATTATAAGACACTTTAAATTGCAACTGGATTATAGGCGTCAAGAATTTTAAGCAGCAAATGAATTCAAGTAAAAGGAACAAGATATAACTCAGGAAGAAGTTTTAAAAGTATGTTCTACCATGTTGTCTCCATTCCTAGCAAGTGCTTTACAACTACACTCTGGAAGAGAGGCATTCAGCTTTTACTAGGAGGAAATATCAATGCTTAATTCTGATGCAAATCACAGCCAGCTGGCGCTCTCTCCATCCTCAGCAGCTCAGAACACTCACAAGCTACTCTAGAAATCACAAGCAACAATTTTCTCCCAACTGTGGAAAGCCATGGGTCCTACTGGACTGACACAGGCAGCTGCATGCCACCATCTCCCTGTCTTGCCCACAGGAGCAGGAGCACCGCATGCCAGGCAGGAGAGTAAACCCAGTTCAAGGGCACTGAGTAGTGCTGCAGGCTCCCCTTATGCAGCTGCTTGCCTTGCTATCTTCCCCAAAGCCTCCGCGACAGGGATGGCAGAAGGTACAGTAGGGAAGTGGTACAACCAAAATCATGGGTACCTTCAATCCTCTTGAAACAGTGACATGAACCCTTCCAGCTCCTAGGACTAGAGGAGCAGAAAGATGCCTTAAGGAGCATAAAAAATGCTGCAGGGAATAGGATGTTACCTGAGTGCCTATCATCCCAGGAACAGTGATGGCGAAACAGCAGTAGCAGGGATTTCAGCACTTTCTCTGTACCAGCCCAACTGGGAGGGAGCACAGATATTTTCTCCCATGCAACCCACGCTCTGGCTCAGGCAGCTGACCTTCCCACTACTATTGGTACTCAGGTTAGAGAGCTGTAATCTCAGCTGCATCATCTGCCAAGACAACTGCTTCCGTGCAGCAAAGACATAGTCCACAGCACCTTCCTTCAGGCTCATCTTCATCCAGAATACATCAGAACTAAACCCTCAAGGCTTCTAAGATTTATGTAACTTTTTTTTTTCAAAGGGACAGAAAATTTAGAAGACTTGGCAAACCAGTACTTCAGGAACAAAATGATTGGCAAAAAGGAGAGCATCAGCATGCCATTATGGATAATAAACAAATTTGATCATGGTGTGTGCTGGAAAATTGCAAACTGAACAGATAAATAGAAGCATGGTCTTGCAAGGTATTTCTTTACAACCAACAGCAAAGAAAAAGGATATGAGTATTCATTATACTATTTAGGGACTAAAGAGATGAACCGTTAGCCAGATGTAAGAAGGGCAAAAGAAAAGACAATTTCTTCTAAAACTGTATGAGAGAGTATGTTAGGACATGAAAAAGCATACTGTCCTTGGAGCTTCTCTCTCTTTCAGATAAAACTTATAACTAGAACCGTTCTCAGCCTATAATCTCTTTGGATTTCCACTAAAATTTCAAAGAAATAATATTTATCTTCACTGGTGTGATGATGAAGAAACTCATCTTGCCTTTTGTTTTTTTCCACATGAAATGTCTCATGACTTTGCATCAGTTAGGGCTGCAGAATGTAGAATGAAAAGGGCAAAACTCACTAGAAAAATGCTCAAATGTCAAGGGCTCGTGGCATTGTTCTGTATCCTAAATAACCTTTATTTTCCCTCTATAGTGCCAATAACTCAAGCTGTGCCTGTGCTAGATCCAAATGTGACATCATATCTGCCAGTCTAACCTTGGTCTTTGTAAAACCAACTTTACTCTCCACTGGATGAAAAATGAAAGAAAAAGCAATAAATCTTTCTATTAAGTCACATAGAAATACACCCTTATAAATCTTATAAAGACTAGCTACCAGGTTGCATGTGTTTATTCATGTCTCAGACTAAAGTTAAAATAATCTTGACTTGATTACATGCAGAGCAGGCTACTACAAATTGCTTTTTGGTAACATGCAAATATAACTATGGTAACAAGAAATGAGCCAGCTTGGTTATCTTGACACCACTCTACATTGTTTTGACTAATCTGGCTACAGATCAAGTTTGAGAAAAACAGGAATAACAGCCACATCTCTTGATTCATACTCCTGTCCCTGAACAAAAGGAATGTGTTTTCACCAATTTTCACCAATTTAATTGACCTAGGAAAGACCAACTGCTACTCTGAAGCTCTTTGTCAAAGTAACTTGTGATTCCCAGATGAATCAGCAGGTTATTTATTCATATTTAAACCTTCCTATTTTTATCACTTGTTTTCCATTTGTCTCATCATTCCCATCTCTCAACTAGTGGATAGGGCATGGAAGAGATCTAGCTTCTACCTGTCTTTCTGTGTGGCCCTGGACTCTCCTGTCAGCTTACACATCTTAAAATAACACTATCCATTTGTGTAATGCTGTGAGATCAATCCATGAAATGCATTAAGAATTACAACCTCTCGTAATCTGGAGTACAATGTACACTTTCACCTTAATGAAGTGGTAGCTTCTTACCACACTGGAGGTGAAGAAATAAAGCACAAAAGAAGGCAAATTGCCCAAAAATATTTTTAAAAGTTGCTTAAAGGGCTTAAATATGGCAAAGCACAAAGTAATCTTCAAGTTTGCTAAGCTATGGATAGCAAGTTGGACAGAAGGCTAGGTTTATCATTATGGCAGCCATTTGGCAAAGAAAATTTTAATTCAGAATCAGTATGAATTGATTTACATAAAATATGTTTGATAATCACTGACTTTGGGCCCTGAAAGGTGGGAGAAATCTCCTCACAATAGCCCTGAATCTTCATCCACTCCTTTCATATGTAGGACATTTTATGTGAACTGTTACCAATTGTATTATCTTGTAGGAATTAATACAGAAACCTGCATGGACAAACTCTTTCTATTACTACTTACATTAGTCCTTTATCAATCTTTAAATACAGATCCTACTAGGCAAAACATATACTTCTATTTTGACTGGGGTCTCAAACAAGACTTAGTCACAGGAACACAATTTCTAGGAAATGCATATTCTCTGAGGTTTTTAGGTTTTCCAACTTGATGACAAGAGCAGAAATAAAATTTTACTGGAAACCTTTCAACACAACTGTCAGAAGGCATTTTGTAAGATATCAACAAACAATCTAAAATAATTTTGTAATTTTTACTTCAGTATTAACTATGGAAAACAACGTTTGTGTGTTCTCCACAAGTTCAACAATGAAAAGTCATCAGTTATTTCCTGGTTTCTTCTCTGAGACACTGATACAATGTTAGCACATATGTATATGTACACACATATACATGAAAACATAGGCATGTATATTTATTCAAGCAAGTCTCCATTTGAAGCAAGCAGGAGTCTTGTCTGACTGAAAACTGTAGGCTCACGCTCTTCAAACAAATCTACCCAAAGCTCCATAAGAAAATAAAACTATGATCAAGCAAATCTAAAACTATGTGAAAAATAAAGTAATCCATTACCATAGAAGACATGAGCACTAACCTGTTATCAGTATCAGCACTGCATTTTGGAGATAACAACTCAAAGGATTTTGTAAATTTCACCACCTGTCACAAAAAAGTAACTTGAAATTGTTATTAAGATGAATAAATATGTAAGAAAACAGTAATGTAAGGTTCCTATATTTAAACCATTTTTATCCAATGGTTGTAGAATAAAAATTCAATCTGTATTCCCCCAATGGAGAATCCATGTTCAAAATACACACTGTGCACAGTTCACTAACAAACAACATCAAATCAAATGATATCTTTAGATTCCTTCGTGAAACTATTTTCTGCAACAGTATATGCTTCCCTTCAAAGGGCTTTGGAGCATGAATTATGGAGCTTTACCCAAACTCACTTTTTTAATACAGGAAAAGAAACAGAAATACCCAATTGCAATTCTAATTGCAACCAATTTTCCTTGAACATATTAATATGTGCCAACAGCACACAAGTGAAACATTTTAAGAGAGGGTAATGTGACATAGAACACAAGTAATGTTTTTGGATGATGGTATGAGTCCCCATCTTCCACTTTGGTTCTGTATTGTAAAAGGTTTTCACACGATGTACAATGACAATATTTTAGACATGGCTTAACATTGAGTTACTCTATGGAGATTTATTTTCATATATAGGTTAACCCTCCAAAATAGGGGGAAATCAGGAAAATAACTTTTTTGCCACTTGTAAAAATGACCAAGTGGGTGGCAAGATGCTATTCTCCTACTCCAAATTAACCTAAGATTTATAACTGTTTAGAAAAATTTATGTTTAACTGAATACCTTGGCTGTCCATATTTCAGGATTTGGTCTAGAGGAATGAGAATTCATTGCCTGTGTTTTGGAAAAAAACGCTCTGTGCTCAAAGGTAGAAACAGTACCAAGAGCAGAAAAATGAAGTGAACAATGCCACCCACAGCCTGCTACAAACACAATGTACTATTCTGTGAAAAAATAAAAATCATATTATACTTGCAAACATAGTGGCATTTCATAAGAATGCAGCAGAACTGTATCTTGTAATTATAAAATCAGTGTGGGGGGTCTAGAAAGAGAAAATAAACTAGAAACATTAAAATTCTATAACAGAGAATATATAAACACAATATAAACCTTGATCTTGCTTTTATGAAAGCTAGTGTAATTTAGGGCATACTCCACTGAAAGTACTTAATTTCTATTAGTTTAAATGAAATGAGAATCATACCTTTCCTCCAGGAAAGAAAATAATAGGTTTTTTCTGCCTACATACATACAAACTTATGATTCTGTCTCTGATAATCATTTAGACTTGTCACAGCCCAGCAACAAATAATCAATTACAGAGCCAGTGAATCCAAAGACAGCTGGATAGAAAAAAAGAATGATATTACAAGCAACATTCTTATCCTTCAACTACTTCTCAGTAGAAAGGAGGATAGTTTACATGGAGTAGCCTGAAAACACTGAAGGGAGCTACCAATATAAAGGCAGTCACTTATTTTAATACTAACCAATAGTCATAAAAATGTTAAACATTTTTAAAGAGGCTCTCATACCCTACAAAGCACCTTGCTTCTCAGTTAAGCTGTCCTAGCTGCTCCATAGTAAGTACTAATTCCATCATGCAGGCAACTGAGAATCACAGCGTATCAGCTGGATCACACCACTGATGGTTAAATCCATCAGCAACTTACAGACATCCCATTAAATGCCTTCAACTGACAAGCAGGAATCATAAATATACCTTTCAGTTTCCATTTGAAAAAGTGGCTATACTGGTTTTGGCTGGGATAGAGTTATTTTTCTTCATAGTAGCTTGTATGGTGACACATTTTAGATTTGCGGTGAGAACAGCACTGATAACACAGGGATGTTTTCATTATTGATGAAGAGTACTTACACAGTGTCAAGGCCTTTGTTGCCTTTGTTGCTCTGCCACCCCAGTGAATAGATTGGGGGGTGCACAATAGATTGGGAGGGAACACAGCTGGGACAGCTGACCCCAACTGCCCAAATGGACATCCCATACCATATGACATCATGCTCACCAATAAAAGCTGCGGGAAGAAGGAGGAAGGGGGGCACTTTCAGAGTTATGGCATTTGTCTTCCCGAGTAACCATTGCATGTGATGAAACCCTGCTTTCCTGGAAATGACAGAACACCTGTCTGCCAATTGGAAGTAGCATACAAATTCCTTTTTTTGCTCTGCTTGTGCACATGGCTTTTGCTTCACCTACGAACTGTCTTTATCTCAACCCGCAAGTTTTCACACTTTTACCCCTCCAATTCCCTTCCCCATCCCACTGGGTGGGGAAATGAGTGAGCAGCTGTGTGGGGCTTAGCTGCCTACTGGGGTTAAACCACAACAGTGGTGTTGATAAAGATTCAACCTGTACCTAACGTACATTTAAGAATGATGGGCTGGAAGAATACTTGCTGTTCAGAACTTACATATGAAATGAAACAGCTTCACCACAATAAAAGCAGCTACTCCACCACCCAAATATTAGCCTTTCTACAGAATGTGCAGCCATACTTACTGGTGATTCGATATCTTCCAGAAGTAATACCGAGCACCGTTCACACTTCAGCAGAGTCTGGGCCCGATGCATAATTTTCTTGACAATTTTCTCTAAGTCAGTCTGTTCCTCAAAAAGGTCATTCACTACTTCCAGTAAAGCCTGCATACAAGGACAGAAAACTCTTGTATTGGTTGTAGAATAAATAAATACATGGAGCATTGCAAAGGAGGCATAATCTCTGGGATTGATTCTAATACGAGTGATCCATTGAAATCCTCATTCACGTTCTTAATGATTATGGCAACAGAATTGTGGTGGGGGTATCTGAAGAAAGAAAGAAGTCGAGTATTTCTTAGCTCACAACCAGGCACAATCCAACTCCTAGCAAACAATGGGAATCTTTCAAACTATTTCAGTGTGGTCCAAAAATGAAACAATGGCTGCAATGCAACTCTCCCAAGTACACAGTATGGATTGAGTTACTTGATTTGCTATATTGAATTTGTTGGTGCATTTAAACTCCGTTTTATTCATTTATTACCCATTTTGCATATTCAAAGCTGGAAAGAAAAAAACCCACATCAATACTTCCATATTCCAATAGCACTCTGATCCAGTCTTTACCACTAACAACATGTCTGTAAAATACAATGTTTTAAAATAAAGGGCTTCCCCTCTCATTTCATCAACTTTAAAAACAATAGGCCATATTCTTTCTTATCATGGGTCCAAAGAAGTGTGCTTTTTCCTTTATTCTGGTTTAGGGCACCAACACTAAAGAACATCCATATAGGTAAGCATATATATGTTAGTGGTCTTAGCTCTCCTAATGCAGTGGTCAACAGCGAAATGTTGGTCACAGTCATTGGAATTTGCCACCATTGGTGTCCAGTTTGATAGCGAGGGCAAAGTATGGGCTTGTCCATCACATGTTACTTGCCAACTAATTTCAACCACGGACTAGGCAAAGCCAACCAGGTCAGAAATGCAATTAAGTACAGGCCACCATGTAGCTGTCAAATGGCAATGATATTTGTTATGCCTCTCATGGCTGAAGTGGCAACAAGAAGCAAAGAATCTGTATCTCTAATCCAATTTCCTGATGCGTCCAACCATCAGAATTTACCATTTTCTAATGAAGAATGAGAATGTCCCTAATAATCTTCTGAGGAAGACATTCAGCAGAAAAGTAAGTGCCGACTCCTCAAAAGTCTGTCATTGTTCCCTGCAGGCTGGGAATCTGCAGCAAATTTTAATTCTTTATGTAGTCAAACAACTATTTTATTTGAACATCAAACAACAACAACAAAAAAATCTTTGGCAGAAAATCATTTTTTTCCCCAAGTCTCCACATCTCTACCCCAAAATATAGTGGTATGTAGTCAGACCTGGACAGAAGACAAACTCAGATACTTCACAATCCTTAAATGTATCCACCATTAGAAAAGGCTATTGTTAGTTTTCAAAGTATCGAAAAGCATTGAGTTTCCATACAAGGAAAGCACCAAAATCTGGAATATGCAAATGCCAGTACTCAATAGACAGACCCACCCCACTGTAGTTTCCCCTGCTTTGTGAAGCGAGAGTAGTACCACTACCAGTGGTATTTCTACTGAAGTGTTGGAGCTGTGATCCGTGATAACAAAAATACCATTTCCTGTCATTGCAGGAAAGGTGATTTTAAAAAAAAAAAAGCCAACAATTATAAAAAAACCTCAAAAATTTATTTCTTAAAAAAATAAAGACCTCTCTGAGAAGTAAATGACATATGAGCTCAGCATTATTTTCACTTCTTTGAAGCCTCCTGTCCCAACTCATGCATGGCATCAGCAATCATGAGTAATGTGAGTAATGTATCTATGCAGACACATGCTGTCAAAACCCTTCGCATACAGGTTTTTTTTTCTTGCTTACTTTTATAAAGATATAGCCACATTATTTGCACATGAAATTAATATTACAAATTCAGGATGGCAAAGGTTTGATATTACTGGAATTTTATGAGAGTTTGAATCTCTGCCAAAACAACACTCTCTCCTGCACCGTGTCACAAATGCAATTGTTTCAGCACTACGAAACATGGAACTGACATCAGGAAACAACAGCCACCACCACCACGAGCATATTTCCCTCCCACACTTTCTGCTTGCTGCCTCAGTCAAGATAGTGATCTGCTGAAAATGCATTTTTTAAAAATAAAACATAGTTAAAACTGTCTGCTTAGCAAACACATATGCATAGTTGGAATCTGAAGGAACAAAAGATGAAAGTTTGATATTGGTCCAATATACATTTTTTACTTACCCTGCTTCTGTCATATTCCTTCCTTGAAGCTGCAAATAGCTGGGCATTGGATATGGCAATCCCACAGAATGGGAGATACATCTGCATCACCTAGTATCAAAAGAAACTCCCAGTCATTAAAATCAACTGCAGTTAGACACTCATGTTACTAGCAAAGAGACCTAAACTTAGGTGACACATCCCAGGAGGGTGTCAGCTCACTCACTCTTCACCAGAACACTAAACACAAAAAAAAATCATCATGGGCAAGGCACATAAAATGGGTGGAACAGAGAATGAATGGGTAGGAAAGAACAAATGCATTTGAGTTCACAGGTCCCAGCAGTGAGGATCCTCTATAACTTGTTTGGAAAAAACTGCAGATTCTCAAGTCTATAAAAATGCCTGCTGAAGACTACATTAAATTACTGTAGACACTACAGCTTCCCTAGAAAAAGTATTGTTTATTTTTCTGGACTGCTGTTTTGTTCTAAGCTCAAGAAGCAAGCTTGAGTCATGCTCCTGCTGATTTCCAGAGGATGTAGATTTTGGAGAATACCAGCACACACAGCACATTGATCCAAAACTATTAGTCAGAAAGCTGATTGTCTTCTTAAGGAAGGAAAAAAAAAAGAAAAAAAAAAGGAAAGTTAAAGAACATGCTTGAGAAACTGGGCCTTAATGCATCACCATACGTTAAGAAAGATTGGACAAGAGGGACTGGGCAAGTATTTTGAGGTGCACAAGATGACTTTAGGCTGGCTATGACTTTAGGCATACTTCAGGCTGGCTCTGTGTGAAATGAATAAACTAGGCTAGTCAAATACTTGAATACCTGTAGGACTGGCACTTTCAAAAGGATGACAATGGATAGAAGTCCAATAATATTAGCATTTTTAAGCCACATACTGATAACAAGTCTGTAACACACTGCCACTGCTGAATGGTTCCCAAGCTTAGGTCTTAGACATTAAGTAAATTTTATAGGTGCTGAATAGCTTTAACGTTTGCAAAGCCAGTGAGGGTTGGGGCACTCTGCTGTTTAGAGAGCCAAAAGAATGCTGCAGCAGCTAACTTTTCTTCTTCCTTGTCTGTCAACTGGGAGATCCACTGTAAGCAATCCTTTCTGTGACAAGTTTTGGCATCGAGAAACTGACATTTGTCTTTGAAATTCCATTTAATTAGAAAATTAATGCTAACCCAGGGAAGCAGGCTATTGAGACTATTTGAGGAAAAAACCCAAGAATTGTAAACATCCAGAAGAACCAAACCAGCAGCAACTGCTGTTCTACTTTATCTTCCTTAAACACTCCATTGGCTACGTCTGCTTAGTTTGTGTTTGAGTAATGATGAGTTTTCTAAAAGGATCTTCAGATCCTCTGAATTTTGCACCTTCACAGCTGCCATTCTGTTAGAATAACTGCAGATTTTCATGGTGCACACAAATACATGTATACTGCTAATTTGCAAACAATTTACTTTTGTCCTCTTCCCATCATGGTCCCCCTCTAAAGGAAAATGACATACTTTGGACTCTACAAACGCTTATCTTTTTGGAGAGGCAGTAATTAAACTAGCTAACTACTGCACCAGATCTGCAGGAAAGAGTACACAAAATGAAAAATAAAGTAAGACTGTAACAAATTGCTAAGAGGCATTCATTTTTTATGGTAAGAACTCCTCTGAAAGAATTTTGCATATTTCAGTTCAGGTTTTATTTCTAAAATGAAACAAAAAACTTACCTGAACTTTCTTGTAATAGTACTAAATGCCACAGCCAAGTAAGAGATGCAGAGCAGAAAAACTTTAACCTGAGAAAAAGCTGACCTTTAGTGTAATTATGAATATCATAGTGAGACTGGATACATTTTTACTTAATAAAAATAAGTAAATACTAGTATTTATTGCCCACACATTGGAACCTCTATTCCCCAAAGTAATGTGGCAATGGAAAGCATACAAGAAGTTTATGAACCTTCTGCCATCACAAAAACAGGCAGCAAAAATGTCTTTTTTAGCAAGAAGAAAGTATTATTTTCTAATATTGAAAAACACTGCTCTCTGGAACCCAAATTCCAAGGCACTGACTCTATATAGAAATTAACATCCATAAAACACTGCTTTATGAAATGTTGAGAGTCTGTAAATCTGCTGACTTACATCATTCTTTTCACCACTCAAACTAATTGTGTAAGGTGCTCTGCAACTAAGAAAGAGACACCAAGCTGTTTAAGTTAATCAGTAGAAGAAATTAATAAATGTCCACAGCTATGAAGAACAAAAAATACCAACAAAACAACCACCAGGTAGAGAGGAACCACCCTGTGATAACAGATAAATCAATTATCCCTGTTTACAAAACAACAGTTGACAAAACAAAAGCCTACTGTTGTTCCTCTTTTGTACTTTCTGAATGGGTGGCTGCTGCGTAAACTGCTTTTGGCAAATTACAATACAGTACCAAATAAACAAAGAATAAAGACATTTCTAATGGTAACTGAATTTTAACTATTTCTTTTTTTAACCAAAATTGCAGAATGGAGTAGAAAGCAATTATCACATTCTGACTTCGAATTACAAATTTGAATCTGCAGTACTCAAGACTGCTTTACAAGCACCTCCAACATGTTGATGCTATGGCTGTTGACACTCCATACAAATATGGAGTTACATAATATTCAACTCTTACCTGTCTGAACTACATACTGTGAAGAGTTGGTATTGTTATGCCAGATTCACTTCAGGGGTTTTCCCTCCAAAGAGAATACAAAGAGTTGAGGAAACGGCACATACCACCATAAGCTGGACACATCCTTTGTTCCTCCTTTGAAGTGACAGGTATGTAATTACTAATCCTCTGGTGCTCTGACGTAAAAACG